CTATCAAGAGAGTGGAGTAGAGGGATTTCGATAGCGTCTCCATTATTTATTTATATCAAATGGCAGGCGTTATGAAAGTTATCATTAGCCCTTTAGTTGACTTCAGGCTTCACAGAGGAGGAGGAACATCAAAGTGAAACAAGGCGAGAGGGAGAGGGGGAACAGAAGAGAGTTTCAAAGATGTAAAAGAGACAGACACAAAGTTGAGTGAAAAAGGTGAGGTGAGTACTGTGGAAGTAGTCGAATATGACATACAATGGGGTGAGGGTAGTTTGAAGTCAGAAGTCAACTGCCAGTTAATAGACTTTTTTGCCGTATGAGTATACGTTGTCCAGGGTGTACCACGTGGAGGTAATTCTATTGCGCACCCCGCGTCTCCATCATTGAGAATGCAATTCCACTAAGTGGTAGTTTGTTGTTGTCAATTAGTGCTCATGATTGTTAAGTAGATGTTTACGTCGCCTTCTTACAGATAGATTTCTGTATTTCCTTGAATTTGGTTTCGCTTTCAGGAAACTTTTTTTGTGCCTTTATTTCACGTCACAGGAGTGTGTATCTATCGTAAGTGGTTTCGATTGATTGGATTGACTTTTCATTGCGTACTTCGCTCACTTCTACACTATCAACAATTCTATCAACAACATAGCGCCACTTAATGCGACAAGAATATTGCTGGATTCTCTCCTCCATGATGTTTTTATTGCCTCTGCCTAGTGTTTTGATCTTATTGGCAAATCGTAAATCCATTTAAAGTCGTCAGTACTTCTTGCCTCTCCCACGCCTTCTATCTCTCCTTTTATGTTTATCTTTTTCTCTTTCATTTATTTTATAGAAGAGAAAAAAGTACAAACAACCCCTAGTGCTATGGAACCCACGAATGGGTACGTTTATCTGTTCATTCATTATCTTTTTTTTGCTTTTATGCCCTTTCTCCTGGAATTTTTTTGTGTGGCACCAAGTGACGCTTCATTTCATTTTCTCATTTCGAAGCATTAATTTTCCAAAAAAGCATAGAATTATTCGCATTCCAGCTTTGAATAGGCCGATTTGTTTGTCGTTGAAGCCTTCACCCTCCCCCCATTGGTCCGGAATTAAGATAATTTCTGAGGGTTTCCATTCAGTGAAAGACGTTGGTGTATATCATTTGGCAGGGGGGTGATATCATTTACCTATTGTCGCTTGCACCTATTTTGCCTGGACATTTCTGTGAAGCTTGGGTCTGTGGTTGATCGAAATTGGGTGATCTCCGATGTGTTTCCCAAACAGTTATTTGACGCAGTAAGACGAAAAGTGCAATTTCCATTTGTGGAAAAAAAAACAACTAAAATCGGTTTGCATAGAATTTAGCTATGATTTTCTTAATAGGCATTTCACGTTACAAAATTCAAATTCCCCTATTCGTTATCTGGATTATTGAGAACTTTTTTTTTCTTTTCAATATCCAACGCTTATTTAACTGTCTTTAATTTTGATGCCTTCTCCTCCACTTCACAGTTCTTTTTACCACGGGTTAGGAAGGCAGAATCATGATCTTAGTATATTGCGGATTCGAGGTAACTTGAACCTCTTCGTTAAAAAAAACCCGTTTTCTATTTCCCCTAACTTGTCTTGATTAGTCATACCCTTCACTAGATGTCATCTCTAATGGGTATCAATCTCGTGATCCCTGACCCGGTAACGTAATCGGTACACAGGGTTTCAGAAAGTAGCAAATGAATTTCTTAATCAAAAAAAAAACCGCAAACGAGCAACCTTCATCTCGCTGCCATGCCAAACTGCCTTAGTGCTTATTTTATTCTGAATTCCGATCAATTATATGCCGGCATATATGCATGATTTTCCATCCAAATTTTAGCTTGAGCTAGTGGAAATTAAAATAAAATCCATAAGATAAAAGGTTGAATCAATCGATTAATTCGATTGGCATCGGATTGCCTTAAGCATGGACTGAAAGCCTCATTTTTAATAATTAATTAGGGTTTGGGGGAAGATTATTCTACATTATCTTATCATCAATTAACATTTGCTATTCCCCCTACGTGTGTGTGTGTGTGCGCTTATTTTTTCTGCCTCAAACTCTATTTCGTTTTTTTTAAAAACAGAGAATTTCTCATTATCGAATTTTGTCATTTCTAACTTCACGCTTTGAATGGTCCATTTTTTCAACTTCGATTTCATTCGGATTTCAGAGAAATGCCAAAGACGGAATCTACGGAAGTGTCATTGCCGACTGCAGGTTCTCAGGTGGGTTTTAATTACTTAAATCTTTATATACCTACATTGTTGATATTATGAGTGTAGGGGTAGAATTGTCAAGTTTCAATAGGAAATAGATACACGTGACAACACTATGCTTGGCTTGGTCAATTAATTAGGAATTATCACATCAACAAATCGAAAACAACTTAAAAATGAAATAGGCAGAGCTCGATATTCTCTCACACACATACACGCGCCATGAATAAAACGCCAATCATTTATTTATTTATATCAAATGGCAGGCTTTATGATAGTTATCATTAGCCCTTTAGTTGACTTCAGGCTTCACAGAGGGAGAGGAGCATCAAATCGTAAAAGGTCGGTGTTTTAAAGATGTAAAAAAGACAGACACAAGGGTAGATGAACGGTGAGGTGAGTACTGTGAAAATAGTCGAATATGACATACAGTGGGGGTCA